AAGAACAGAAATTATAACAAACTGTCTCTCAGACCACAGTGCAATCAAACTAGAACTCAGGACTAAGAAACTCAATCAAAACCACTCAACTACATGGAAACTGAATCAGACCAATTGTCCTATAGAACTGATGTTTACGGTCTGTTAAAATAAACATAGAAATTGACCCTCCTAGTCTTAAACCTCGAGAAAGTTACATTTGTCTTATCTGAGTTCCTTTCTTGGGAAACCAACCATCAGGCCTCCCAGATAGTTATCAAGGAACTGAAACTTAACAGATCACCACATCTGGACCATAAGATACCAGACCCCCTCACTCATCACAATTGCCCAATCAACTACCTGCTTCCTGTCAACCAACTCCTCTTCCTCACCCTTCCTAATTCCTGTTTTCCCATACATGGTTACATTCCTTCCCTGCTAAATAAACCCCTGGTTTTAGTAAGTTGAGGAGACAAATTTGAGACTGATCTCCCATCTCCTTAGCTGCAGCACCCAATTGAAGCCTTCTTCCCTAGCAATACTCACTGTCTCCGTGATTGGCTTTCTGTGCTGTAAGCAACAGGACCTAGACCAAACCCCTTGATGTTTCAGTAGCAATATGAGGCACTCACTACAAGCAAATTCACAAAGACAGAATAAGTAGAGTATAGGTTACCAGGACTGGGGAAGGGAAAAGGGAAGTTACTGTTTAATGGGTAAGGAGCTTCTGTTTAAGATGATGAAAAAGTTCTGGAAATGAATAGTGGTGAGGGTTATACAAAAATGAGAATGAACTAAACGCCACTGTACACATAAAAATGGCTAAAATGGTATGTTTTAAATTATGCATAATTTACAATTAACAAATTTTTTTAATTATAGTATTACTGTATGTGAATTATACCTCAAAGTTGACTGGCAAGGATAAAAGGATATACAATTTGATAAATACTCAATGTTGGAAGTTCTAACAAAAGGTATTTTAAACACATCGACTGGGATTATGTATTGATACAATTTTAATTTTTAAGAGTATTTCAGCAATTTTTCAGAAGTCACAAAAATATTTACTGCCTTCTATCGATTTGTTCTAATTCTATGAATCTTCCCTAAAGAGAAAAAGAAAAAGCAGACACAAAGATTTAATCTCAAAAATGTTCACCAAAATGTTGTTTACAACATTATAATACTATCCAAAAATAGTAAACAAAATGATCAGATATTCACAACATATAAAAAGTTTATCTTAAGTATTATGTATTTTATTTTTAAATGTTAATAACATTTAAAATACATAATACATACGTTACAGGGAAAACAAACATAAAATTATATCATGTGATTCTAATTTTTTTATATGCAAAACAAAACTAAGGAATAAATATATCTACTTCAATAATAATTATCTCCCAGACTAAGTTAAGGACCCTTTATCATATGTTATCAAGGTAATATCACCTGAGATCAGAGAAAACCTCACTAGAAGTGGCTTTGAATGGAGAAAGAGAATAAAAGAGGATTCCTACCAGACAACTTGTCTACCTCAGTATCATTTTATTCAAATTAAAACTGTTTTACAATCAAACTTCAATTTTTAAAAGTGGGGGAAAAAAACAGTACGTGTGAATTTTGGTATCCAAGCAGATACTAAAACCAATCTCTGGGCTGATACAGAGGGATGACTGTACTTGGAAATGATCTGGAATGTCTGTTTTAAAATGTCAGCAGGGGGCACCCCGTTCAAGGATATAACACGTTTTAAATAAAAGTGCTTAAATAAATATCTCAGTGATTCATTTTCAATGAGCATACCATTAGCCTTCTCTAAGTATTAAATACTCAGCCATTACCTAAAAATCCTAGTTTCTATTACCAGATTTTACTTTGGGAGAGTAACATCAGAAGATGTATAGTAAGAATTACCCTTATTATTAAGCATTTTTTAAACTCCTATTGGTTCACCCATATTTCACCAGTATAGAAGAATAATTATTATCATACCACTGCCACAATTCACAAAATTCTTTCACCTCCATTTTTTCATGTGCCTGTCCTAACAATCATGAGATAAGCAAGCTTGATGATAATAACTACAACTTCTACAGCCCCAACCCCATTGTAAATGAAATACCCACCAAGAATCAGGCACTACACAAGGTATCTCATATATTTACCTCATTCAAAGTTGAACAATTACCAAAAATCTATGAAGTAGTTATCCCATCCCAATTTTACAGATGAGGAAACTGAGGCTCAGCAATTAAAGTAACTGGCCCAGAAAGCAGATCTTTGATCCACACCCAGGTCTGTCTGAATCCTAAACCTATGCCATTTCCTTGTCCCACCCACACTCCCCAGGAAACAGAGATTGAGAAAAAGATAATCATTCGGCCAAGTCTTATAGGCAACCAGAACCCAGAGCCTTCTAACACTTGATCTACAGTGCTTTCCACCTGGTATGTTGCTTCTATAAAAAGCAAGGACACTTCCTTCCATTGGGAGTTTATAAATCATAATCCCATTAGATTGTAAATAACATCTAGGGAAGCTACGTGCTACAAGAGGGGAAAATAAGGGTGGCCAAGGGAAACTTTGAGGAAGTATAACTAAATTAATACACAGGGATCAGGGTTTAAGTATTTTATAACCAATACTCAAAACAGTAACAGTGAGCCAGGCACAGTGGCTCACACCTGTAATCCTAACACTTTGGGAGTCAGAGATGGGAGAATCACTTGAGTCCAGGAGTTCAAAACCAGCCTGGGCAACATAGTGAGAGACCTTGTTTCTACGAAAATAAAAAAACAATAACAGTTAATAAAGTTTCCAGGAGTAGCTTAGATAATCCCAGAATTGTATTTATAATATTAGGAGAAGGGCTATTTTTAAATATTCTAAAATTTATAATTGGAATGCCCATAAAAATTGCCTATGAGTAGAGTCATCATTACATCAGAACAATTTAATAATTACTTAGGACTCTGTTTTTGATAAATATGTACGCTGTAACTACTTAATAAAGTCATGAAAAATAATTTTTAAAATATAAATGTTACTTACATATCCCAGTTTGGAGCTATCCGCAAATGCTGGATTAGCAATTGGAACTAGAATAAAAAATTTAAATGTAAAAAAAAGAAAAAATTAAAATGTAAAGTCACAAAACACAGAAAATGACAGCAAAGTTAACAGCCCAGGACTTTATAAAAAGGAAGTTTACACTGTACACCAAAAATGATATTTACTAAATTACAAAGGCACTTGTATATGAGTAAGATTAAAATAAAAAAATAAGAACAGTACTTTTAGTTTCTCCTACCACTTTATATTCGCTAAATTACTGCCCTTACCTGACAGACACACACCAACTATCAAAAAAAGTAACCTTAATACTATCCTGGAAACAAATGAACTTAAATTTTTTCAAGCCAATTCCCAAATGAGGGACCACTATGGAAAACATCTCCGAACCACTGTAATTCCTTTCTGAGGATGACTTCAAAAACTCTGCCAATCGATGCTCAAACATGAGCCAAAAGAAACAAAAACCAAAAAAACTCTGACAAATTCTCATGAGTTTACCAATGGACCAAGATAGTCCAAAAAGTAATATTCCCAGGGGAAGAGGAAAAAAAAAGTCTTAGAGGATTGATGTCTTCCTTCAATGCTACATTAGAAACCTTGCAGTTTACCAGAGGACCCAGTAAAGGAACCAACACCCCCAACCCATTCCACATGGGGAGTTCATTCCAGTCACTAATGAGAAGGTAAAAGGTCTTATGACATCACTTTTTTATTTTGGTTTTTTTTTTGTTTTTTTTTTGTTTTTTTTTTTTTTTTTTTTTGAGATGAGTTTCACTCTTTTTGCCCAGGCTGGAGGTCAGTGGGGCGATCTCAGCTCACTGCAACCTCTGCTCCAGGTCAGTCGATTCTCCTGCCTCAGCCTCCAAGTAGCTGGGATTACAGGGGTGCACCACCACACCCAGCTAATTTTGTACTTTTAGTAGAGACAGGGTTTTGCCAGGTTGACCAGGCTGGTTTCAAACTCCTGACCTCAGGTGATCCATCCACCGTGGCCTCCCAAAGTGCTGGGATTACAGGTATGAGCCACCACGCCCAGCCTGATTTCAGGTATTTTTTTAAAATCTTACAAGTTAACATAAAATGGAAACCTGAGTATTACAAACAAACACAGTTCAAAATCACCATCTACTCTCATCTACTTTAGGATCTAAGGATTAAACAGAGGATAATTTTCATAAACCTAAAATCGTGATAAATCAGTTTTTTCATGGTAGTTAAATCAAACTGATATTTCAGCACTTGTTTGAGTCTCTATAGAAACACAAATTAAAACGCATAAGGCATGTCACAAAGGCCTACCAGGGGGGAATGGAGGAGCCTGGTGGCCACCTCCTGCTGACCAGCCACCACGCACAAATAGCAAAGGAGATTCAGCTTGGCTCGGGAGGCCCCCATGCTCTTCTCAGTGGAGTCGATCTGCGAGCACACTTGTTGCAAAAAGTCATTCCAATCTTGGTCTTTCAGAAATAATAACTTATCCACTGCCATGGAAAGCAAATAATAAAAGTATGTATGATGAGAAAAAGAACTGCTGGAAACATTACATGAGAAATAAACACAGAATTACGACAGCTAAGATGAGGACAAACATTACACTGTCAAAACCAAAAATACTCCAAAGATGACACTACTTTTATTTGTCCTTCCATATTCCTAATCTCTGTATCTATCCATGGAAACTTTTTAACCACTTCAATGGAAAGCTATACTTTCAAAAAAAGCAGATGTCCTAAGCAGAACTGTCCCACAACCTACACCACAACAAAATGCAAAGTTCAACACAACTGGAGTAAAAGACAAAAGAGCCTTGGTATAAATAAATCAACTCTCAAATATTGAGAAAAGCACAAATCCTACGGTTCCTAAAAAGTTCCAATGAAATTATTGTAAAAAAATAATGAGAATAACATGATAGCTAAAAATCACCTGAAATCCCTACCTCCAAATCCCTATACAAAAAAATGGCAAAATCTAGGAAATGTGATACCCCCTAAAATTAACATATTCTTGGCTGATCTCTATCTTTAGACAAAATAAATTATAAATATAATTTCCTAAATAACTCAAAGAAGAAAAGGGAAATAGTATTTCCATGTAATAATTCTCTAGGTTTGTGTAAATAGTCCTACTTGGCTCTGAAAGCACTATTAATAATACTTAGCTTCAAAAACATCCTTCTGCACAGTTTCTTTTCTGTTTTTATCAGTAATTAAGTTGATCGATATAAACCCTTAGCTGGTTTATTTAAACCTAAATATATTTTAAATTTACTTCAAATCATAGATTCTACTCTAGCCACGATGAATAATTTTCCCCAAATCAAGTTTAACAGCTTAAAATATAATTTGTTAAACAAAAAAACCAGTTTAAAGTATGTAAAAATTTCTGATGGTCACCCTAAGTAAGACTTTCGTTAGCTCAACAGAAACGTAATAATTATCCCTTAAGTATCTCCACTCCCATACCACCTCCACAGTCATGAACCACCTAGTCCCATTCTCAAATGTCCTGGTCCCTCCAATAGAATCCCAATCCTTCATTGTTGCCCCCAAACCTGTACACCTACACCAGCCATAAATGGTGGAAATTCAACCAGCTCTAAGAAGGAAAGGGAAGAGAAGACCTCCTACCCACTCTACAGGAAAACCAGTCCAGATCTACAGGAACCTCCCTACCCAGAAGAGAGAACAGGGCAGCCCAGACTCAGCTAAGAAATGTCAACAGATGGCACAAATGAATTACAGATTGTTTACAATTCGTATAACACTGCCCCAAGAATATAGGCAACTGTCAAGACAAAATAAATTTAGTTATTCACATACAAATATTCTATTTGCAAATAAATTTCATATTTGTATCTGTATACAAATAGTGTACATGTTTGATAAGTCCTTTATGATCCTACCTGAATATGCTGGTAGATGCAATATTTTTGTATCAAATTTAACTGGTGGCTGTTTCATTATCTGTGGTTAAAAAAAAAAAAAAAAAGCTTTTGAGACAATTTTTAAGATGGATATCTATCTCCTTATATGTCCCTTGTGTCAGATAATAAATCAATGAGGACAAAAAAGAATGTGTAAAATTTGTTACCAAAAAGAATAAGAACAATGACTTTTCAGATTAAAAACATACAAATATAGATAATAAGTTATTTTTTTAAAATCATTTCAATTGATATCTGTAATAAAATAAAGCTTCACAGAAAACATTCACCCCATCTTGGCTTACTTTTTAGCTAACTTACCTCTAATTAGAAATTCAGTCATTCAACAAATATCTATTGGGTTCCTGCCAAGGTAAGGCTCTATGCCAAGTGCTAATGGGGATACAAAGATATAAAAGACACAATCCTATTTTCAGAGAGCTGACATCCTAGTTGGGAAGATGAGACAAACACTTGATAAACAATGAAATATTTCACAATTCAAAACATGCAGGACATAACTACAGACAAAACACTGGACAGAAAGAATTTTTTTGTAAACAGCAGTTTAGAGAATACAGCAAGCACTTTAGTTGATATAGTTAGGACCAGGTTTCCAGAAAAGGTAGAAGGTGGGTTGAGGTGTTGAAGGATGGTTAGAACTTTATGGTTATATCAGAGAAGACACCATTCCAGGAAGCCATAATAGCATGAACTGGAAAGTGTACAACTTATTTGAGAAATGTGAAGAAATCATGTAGTTGGATCCATGAGTTTAGGACAGCCAGATACTTCATCTTGAGCCTTTTAATCAAAAATTCAACCATCATTTCCGTACCTAACTTCTGCAACACTTCTATATGCAATATTTTTAAATCCTTTACTAATTAAGTAACCAGCATTACTGTAATTACTGTAGTAATCTTACTAAAATGCATATTCTTATTCTAATCTCATAATCCAAATTCATAATCTCATTCTAATCATGACAAACCCTCAGACAAACCTAAATTAAGGGACGTTCTACAAAACACTCAACCAGTTACTCTTCAAAGTGTCAAGGACTTGAGTCATACGTTTCATAACATGTATTACAAAAAAATACAAAGGCCAGGCACGGTGGCTCACGCCTGTAATCCCAGCACTTTGGGAGTCCTAGGCAGGTGGATCATGAGGTCAAGAGTTCAAGACCAGCCCGGCCAACATGGTGAAACTTCATCTCTACTAAAACTACAAAAATTAGCCAGGCATGGTGGCAGGTGCCTATAATCCCAGCAACTCAGGAGGCTGAGGCAGGAAAATAGCTTGAACCCGGGTGGCAGAGGTTGCAGTGAGCCGAGATTGCGCCACGCCACTGCACTCCAGCCTTGGTGACACAGTGAGACTCCATCTCAAAAAAAAAAAAAAAGACAAAGTGTCAAGGTCACGAAAGACAAGAAAGGTCTGAGAAATTCTGACAAGGCCATGAAAGACTAGGACAGACTATACAAGACTAAGGAGGCATAACAACTAACTGTAAGGTGGGATCCTGGAACCAAAAAAAAAAAGAACATTAGAGGCAACTGGTAAAATTCAAATAAGTTTGGTAGTTTAGTTAACAGCACTATACTCATGTTTGGTTTTTTTTTTTCCTTTTCTTTTTCAGGAAGAATTAGAAAGGAGCAATCAGGGTATTGCAAGCCCTCATTACACAGAGATATTAATCAAGTATTATGCAACTCCAATTACCACATTCTACTGCCCTCCACAAGGAGGAACAGATAAGGATTATCCCGCCTGACTAACGATATACTAATGTTAATTCCCAGATTTTGCAACCTATACTAAAGACCTATGAGATGTGAACATTAAGAGCAGCTGGGCGAAAGGTATATAGGAACTCTCAATTATTTTTGAACTTTTTCTCTAAGACTAAAAGTAGTTTAAAATTAAAAGTTAAACACAAAAATTTCTATTGATTAAGGCTTCCCAGAAACTATTAGATATGGTTATAAGAGGGAAAAAAAACACAGAATATTGTCGAAAGCAAGCTTGTCCAACCCGCAGCCCATGGGCTGTATGCAGCCCAAGACAGCTTTGAATATGGCCCAACACAAATTCATAAACTTTCTTAAAACACTGTAAATTTTTTTGCAATTTTTTTTGTTTTTTAGTTCATCAGTTATCATTAGTGTATTTCATGTGTGGCCCAGGGAAGCCAAAAGATTGGACACCCCTGATAAAGATAACACAAATTGTTCTAGAAAGTCCAATTTGAAAATGCCCCAATGCACACCAAACTTAGCATAATAAAGTTACTCTGCCAGACATACGAACTCACAAAAAGAATTAGCTCCATTATGAAAAATAGCTAAATAATCTATATGAAATGCTGTCTATCTAGAAAATAAAAATGAATCCAAGAACCCTTATGGTCTAAACCACAGTAATGTTCCCAATGAGATAAGAAAAAACAGTCATGAATTAATACAGAAAAAGACATTTAAAAAGGAAAAAGAAGCAGGAAAATTAAAATAGAGAATAAGTAGTGGAATGTGAGTATGCTGGGGAGCTGGAAGTCAAGACAAAACAGAGGGACTTAGAAATGAATTTGTTTTTTAAAGTAGATACTCATTATCCCCTAGCAATAAAGTATTATATTCCAAAAGACAAGAAGCAAAAAAACTCACACTGGTTTAGAAGTACATTGTGAACTATGATTTCTCAAGCTCCCATAATGTCTCCCCACCGTCTCCCCTGCAGTCTTAACAACCTGTGACAGGGTAGGGCTTCTGTGTGATATGCCTGCCCAGCCCAGCCTGGTGAGCAGTGCCCTCTGACTGCTTCTGCCTTCAAAATACATCAGAGACTAGAATATTTAGAGTGATTCACATTAGTGCGTATGGAGAAACAAAGGGACTGAGAGCTAAGGTCTGAGGTCAAGAGGCTGGCAACCCCTCCATGGCATGTGGAAGAAAGCAGTGGTGAGAGGCAGAGCTGACTCATTCAAAACAGAGGGGATAAAACTTAGAACTCCAGTGAAGTGGAAGTGAAGGCAGAGGAAAGGGTTGCAGACAGAGCAGGAGCGGGAAATGCAGACATGCAGCACAAATGAAACAGAAGCAGACAAGAGAAACAGGAAAGATTAGACAGCAAATAATATTCTGAATGAAAATCTCATGCAGATTTCAGATCTCAGTAAAGTCTACAACTCAGTTGTTAGAGTATCTTTCCACACCTTTGGATTGTCGATAATGGGGGTGACAACAAGATCTGAGTCTGTGTAGATAAGCTCTCTCATCTGGGATTCCAGGTCCTGCTGACTCAGGTGTCCAGTTGCAATCTGAAATGAGAACAAAAATTAGACTTTGTTTCTGTGACTAATGTAGATCTTTAAAACACAGAACTAATAAGATGCTGAGGAAGACAACACTGTAAAATATCACCCATATCAATGTACTTCAACTGCTATTCAAGACACTTGTAGTCTTATTTGATTTTCACAAAAATCCTAAACTGTAGGCACCATCATTCCCATTTTACAGATAAAAATATAAAACTCTGAGAAAGTAACTGAATTGCTCATGTTACCACTAAGGCTGGCTAGGACTAGAAAAAAGATCTTTACAATTCAATGTTCTAAACTGTGATGAGGCAAATTGGTTTTTCCATTAACAGCATGGCTTTTTTTTTTTTTTTTTTTTTGAGATAGAGTCTCACTCTGTCATACAGGCTGGAGTGCAGTGGCACAATCTCGGCTCACTGCAACCTCTGCCTCCTGGGTTCAAGCTATTCTCCTGCTTCAGCCTCCCAAGTAGTGAAATTACTGGTGCACACCACCACGCCCAGCTAATTTTTATATTTTTAGTAGAGTCGGGGTTTCACCATGTTGGTCAGGCTGGTCTCGAACTCCTGATCTCGGGAGTTCTCAGGTGATCTGCCCACGTTGGCTTCCCAAAGTGCTGGAATTACAGGCATGAGCCACGTGCCTGACCCACAGCTTTATTTTTCATTCACAGAATGCTAATCAATTTACTTCTGCTTTACAGAATATTCAATGTGAAGTTGAAGCTGTAACATAAAACAATTTTCAAACTTAACTACAGACCTGTTACCTAAGTGTTAAACCTCAATTATTTATTAAGCCTAGTTAGAGTTGATACATAATGAAATGAATCAGCAGACATTCACCATCAGTTATTCCTCTGAGATGGTTCTTTGTGCTCTATTTAAACATAATTTGTATTCCTAGTGTTACACCTCAGTATTTCCCAACAGGAAAAAAAATAAGAGAGAGAGAGAATTTATGCTTAAGAACCTTAAAAGAAACAATGATTAGCAAACTAAATAAAATAGAAAAGTAAATTAGTGAAGTAAGGAATAAGGAAAATAAAGTATCCAAAACTGAATAAGGAAGGGGCATGGATAAAGGAACAGAGGAGTTAGCTAAGAAAGTTGCTGGAAACCCAAGCTGCCCCTTGCAACTCAGACGAAAGACACAAGAAAACACACAAAGAGGCCAGGCATGGTGTCTCACCCCTGTAATCCCAGCACTTTGGGAGGCCGAGGTGGGCAGATCATGAGGTCAGGAGTTTGAGACCAGCCTGACCAACATGGAAAACACCATCTCTACTAAAAATACAAAGATTAGCCAGGAGTGGTAGCATGCGCCTGTACTCCCAGCTACTCAGGGGGCTGAGGCAGGAGAATCGCTTGAACCTGGGAGGCGGAGGTTGCAGTGAGCCGAGATCGCACCACCACACTCCAGCCTAGGTGACAGAGCGAGACTACGTAAAAAAAAAAAAAAAAAACCCACAAAGAATGAAGAGGAAGTTTGTTTAAAACAAGAAAATCTAAGTTTAAGAACATCTAAGTTAATTTTTTTTTTAAGAAAATCTAAGTTTAATTTTTTTTTCAATTAAAGAAAAAAAAAAAAGGAAGACGGACTTTCATGGCAAAAAGACGGGTAAACTTTCATTGCCGCTTGTTAATTATGTGCTCTTTGGGAAGTTAAAGAAAAAAGCTTTGTTTTCTTCATCTATAACAAAGATTAAAATGAACAAGCTTTCAGGTTTGTGAAGAATAAACACAAAGCATTTAAAACAATGCCTGGCACTGCTTGAGAGAAGACAGTGATAGTTTATCAAGACATTTAAATATATACATCATACTTGCTTCAGTGGAGAATGGATAGAGGGGAGCAATGGAGAACTGAGGGGACCAGTTAGCAGGTTACTGCAAAGCCTGGATGGAAAAGATGGTGTCTTGAGCGAGGAAGGTGGCAAAAGGAAAGGAAAGAAGTCAATGATGGAGCAAAGGGCTGGATATCCCTGCTGATTTAACACTGAGGAGGAACCACTAGTAAATTATATTAGTCCGTAAAGTAAGACATCAATATTTGAAAGAGGTAGCCAAATTATCTTTACATATAGATGATATAACTGAACATCCAAAAAGCCAAAATTAATCAATGGGAAAACTATTCAAAATAACGTAAGAATTAGGCCAGGCGTGGCCTGTAATCCCAGCACTTTGGGAGGCCGAGGTGGGTAGATCACCCATGGCCAGGAATTCGAGACCAGTCTGGCCAAAATGGTGAAACCCCATCTCTCCTAAAAATATAAAAATTAGCTGGGTTTGGTGGCAGATGCCTGTGGTCCCAGCTACTCAGGAGGCTGAGGCAGGACAATCACTTGAACCTGGGAGGCGGAGGCTGCAATGAGCCAAGATCATGCCACTGCACTCCAGCCTGGGCAACAGAGCAAGACTCTGTCTCAAAGAAAAAAAAAAAGAACGTAAGATTAGTAAGGTGGACCAATTAAAAAATTGTACGCAAAAATTAATTTCATATAGGTAAATTGAATGTATGCACAATTGCCAAGTTACAACAAATATCCCACTCACAATAGCAAAAATATATAAAATAAAATGCTCAGGAATAAACTGATCAATAATTGCAATCAGATCATAATCATTAAATGAAAATAATTGTTATAAAATTATACTCCCTTGTTTCAAAATGAACACATATGTATAAAACCAGAAGTAGTAGTATCAAAATGTATGAGATGTATGAGGTTACAGTGAACTACAATCCTACGATCACGCCACTGCACTCCAGCCTGGGCAACAGGCACTCAACAAAAAAAAATATGTAATCAGTGTTTACTCAGGAATTACATAGTAAATAATTTTTCTATTTTCTTTGTCCTCTTTTACATTTTACAAGTTTTCTACAATTATGTATGTTTTGTAATTGAATAAAAAGTATCACTTAAAAATTATAAAACATAAGGACAAGCACAGTGACTCACAACTGTAATCCCAGCTCTTTGGGAGGCCGAAGCCGGCAGATCACTTGAGTCCAGGAGTTTGAGACCAGCCCGGGCAACACGGGGAAACCTCTACCAAAATTACAAAAAATTAGCCAGGCATGGCGGCGCACACTTGTAGTCGCAGCTACTCAGGAGGCTGAGACGAGAGAATCACCTAAGCCTGAGAAGTTGAGGCTGCAATGCGCCACAATCATGCCACTCCACTCCAGTCTGGGTGATAGGAGTGAGGCCCTGTCTCAAAAATAAATAAATAAATAAATATAGAGATGCATATGTAAAATAAACTACCTTAGGTATTCACATTATTGATTATATTTCCTCAATACAATGATTACATACTCTTCTTTATAAGCATCTGCCAGAAGAGCTTCAACATCTATCACCTTTCAGAATGAATTTTTTAATTTACATTGATTCTCTATTTCACATAACCAAAAAATTAGCACAGTGAGATTTTATTATAATCCATTTATACTAAATTTCAAAGCAGAAATAAGCTTCACATGGTCCAAATACACTTCACATTACATCAAAACCACAGTAAAAACTAAAAGCAATTATATTTGTCAAGCAATAAGTAGCATAAAAATAACTTAGAATTAATTCGAAGTAGTTCCGCATTCAACACAACTTTGATTGAAAGAAATTAAAGAAGGCCTAAATAAGTACAAATACATACTGTGTTCGTGGAGAAAAACTTAACATTGTTAAAATGGCAGTACTTCCTAAATTAATCTACACATTCAATGCAACTGTGATTAAAATCCCAGCAGGCTCCTTTGCAGAAACTGACAAGCTGATCTTAAAATTCATATGGAAATGCAAGTGTCCCAGAACAGCCAAAACCACCTTAAAAATTTTTTTGGAGGATTCATACTTTCTGATTCCAAAGCTTACTAAACAGCTACAGTAATCAAGAGTGTGCCACTAGTATAAGAACAGATGAATAGATAACAGAATAGAATCCAGAAGTAAACCTTTACCTATACAATCAATCGATCTTCAGTAAGAGTTCCAAGACAATTCAATGGGGAAAGACTAAGCTTTTCAACAGATAGTGCTGAGACAGCTGGATGTTTAGACGAAAAACAATGAAGTATACCCCCCTACTTCATGCCACATGCAAAAATTAACTCAAATGGGTAAAATAGCTAAATCTAAGAGATATTAATAAAACTATACAACTCTTAAGAGAAAATATAGGCAGAAACCTTTGTGACCTTGGAGTCACAAATGGTGTTTTTAGATATTACACCAAAAGCACAAGCAGCCAAAAAACACAAACGAAAAAAGATTAATAGGACTATATCAAAATTTAAAACTTTTGCGCTTCAAAGGATACCATCAAGAAAGAAAAAAGACAATCCAGACAAAGGGAGAAAATTGCTATAACTCCTATCTAGAATATGTAAAAAATTCTTAACAACTAAATAATAAAGAGATAAATAACCCAATTAAAAATAGGTTAAATTTTTCAATAAATGTTTCTCCAAAGAAAATAGACAAATGGCCAATAAACACATAAAAAGATACGCAACATCATTAGCCATCAGGTAAATGCAAATAAAAACCACTAAAGACATAGAAATTCACACCTATTAGCCGGGCGCGGTGACTCACGCCTGTAATCCAAACACTTTGGGAGGCGGAGACAGGTGGATCATTTGAGGTCAGGAGTTCGAGACTAGTCTGCCAGGCATGTGAAACCTCATCGTCTACAAATACAAAAATTAGCAGGTGGGTCGGGCCAGTAGCTCACGCCCGTAATCCTTGCACTTTGGGAGTTTAGAGGCAGGCGATCACAAGGTCAGCGAGATCGAGACCCGATCCTGGCTACCACGGTGAACCCATTCTCTACTAGAAAATACAAAAAATTAGCCATGCATGGTGGCGCGGGCGCCTGTAGTCCCAGCTACTCGGGAGGCTGAGGCAGGAGAATGGCATGAACCGGGAGGCGGAGCTTGCCAGTTAGCCGAGATTGTACCACTGCACTCTCGCCTGGGTGATAGAGGAAGACTCCATCTCAAAAAAAAAAAAAAATTAGCCAGGTGGTAGTGGCATGTACCCGTAATTCCAGCTACTTGGGAGGCTGAGGCAGAAGAATCGCTTGAGCCTGGGAGACAGAGGTTGCAGTGAGCCAAGATCATGCCACTGCACTCCAGACTGGGCGACAGAGTGAGACCCTGTCTCAATCAATCAATCAATCAATGGAATTTCACACCTGCTAGATGTGAAATAGAATGGCTATCACAAGAAAGACAGGCAATGCAGCACCATTCACAATAGCCAATAGGTGGATGCAACCCAAGAAATCATCAATAGATGAAAAGATAACAAAGCATATTAAATACACACAAGGGAATATTATTCAGCCTTTAAAAAATGAAATTCTGGCACATGCTACAGCATGTATGACATTATGCTAAGTGAAATAAGCCAGGCACAAAAGTACAAATACTATATGAGACTCCTTTTTTTTTTTTTTGAGACTGAGTCTTGCTGTCACCAGGCTGGAGTGCAGTGGTACAATCTCAGATCACTGTAACCTCCGCCTCCTGGTTCAAGCAATTCTCCTGCCTCAGGCTCTTGAGTAGCTGGGACTACAGGCACACGCCACCATGTCCGGCTAATTTTTGTATTTTTAGCAGAGACACAGTTTCACCATGTTGGCCAGCATGGCCTCGATCTCTTGACTTTGTGATCCACCTGCCTCAGCCTCCCAAAGTGCTGGGATTACAGGCATGAGTCACTGCGCCCAGCCTATATGAGACCACTTATGCCAGCGGTCCCCAAATTTTTTGGCATCAGGAATCAGTTTTGCAGAAGACAATTTTTCCACAGACAAGGTTGAGGGAGATGATTTTGAGATGATTCAAGTGAATTACATTTATTGTGCACTTTATTTATATCATTATTACATTGTAATATATAATGAAATAATTATACAACTCACTATAATATAGAATCAGTGGGAGCCCTGAGCTTGTTTTCCCACAACTAGACAGTCCCATCTGCGGGTGATGGGAGACAGTGACAGATCATCAGGCATTAGATTCTCATAAGGAGCATGCAACCTAGATCCCTCAGCGTGCACAGTTCACAGCAGGATTCATGCTCCTATGAGAATCTAATGCAACCACTCATCTGACAGGGGGCAGAGCTCAGACAATAATACAGGTGTAGATTGAGAGCAGCTGTAAATACAGATGATGTGTCACTCACTTGCCCGCCACTCACTTCCTGCTCTGTGGCTTGGTTCCTAAGAGGCCACAGACTAGCAGCAGTCCATGGCCAGGGGGTTGAAGACCCCTGACTTATGCAATGGACCTAGAATAGGCACATTCGTAGAGGTAGAAGGTATAATAGCGGTTACCAGGGGCTAACGGTAATGGGAAATGGGCAGTTATTATTTAATGGGTACAGAGTTTCAATTTGGGATGATTAAAATTTTCTGGAGATAGATGGTAAAAATAGTTGCGCAACAATATGAATGTACTTAATGCCACTTGAACTATATACTTAGAAATGATTTAAAATAGTACATTTTATGTAATGCATTTTTTACCACATTTTTTAAGACAATACCAAATGTTAGTAGAATGTGTAAAAATTGATAACCTCATACACTGCTGGTTAGAATGTAAAATGGTGCAGACGCTTTGAAAAACAGTTTGACAATTCTTCAAAAAGTTAAGGCCAGGTGCAGTGGCTTACTCTGTAACACCAGCACTTTGGGAGGCTGAGACAGGAGCATCGCTTGAGCTCAGAAGTTTGAGCTTAGGCAAAATAGAGGGACCCTGTCTTTACAAGCAATTTTTTGTAAACGTAGCCAGGTGTGGTGGCATATGCCTGTAGTTCCAGGTACTTGGCAGACTGAGGCAGGACAACCACTGGAGCCAAGGAGGTCCAGACTGCAGTGAGCTATGATTGTACCACTGTACTCCAGCCTGGGTGACAGAGGGAAACATTATCTCAAAAACAAAAAGTTAAACAAGGAGTTAACACATGACACAGCAATTCTACTCCCAAATATTCACCAACTGATGACTGGAAAAAAAAAAAGATGTTGTATACACAACAAATTATTTGACAATAAAAAGGAATCTAGTACTGATACATGCTACAACTTGGATGAACCTTGAACATATATGTTAAACAGGCCGGACGCGGTGTCTCACGCCTGTAATCCCAGCACTAGGGGAGGCCGAGGAGGGCAGATCATGAGGTCAAGAGATCGAGACCATCCTGATCAACATGGTGAAACTCCGTCTCTACTAAAAATACAAAAATTAGCTGGACGTGGTGACACACACCTGTAGTCCCAGCTACTCGGTAGGCTGAGGCAGGATAATTGCTTGAATCTGGTAGGCATAGGTTGCAGTGAGCCGAGGTTGCGCCACTGCACTCCAGCCTGGCAACAGAGCGAGACTCCATCTCAAAAAAAAAAAAACAACAACAACAACAAAGAAGACATATGCTAAGTGGAAAAAGCTAGTAACAAAAGACCACATATTGTTGATTCCATTTATAGAAAATGCACAGAACAAGTAAAATAATAAAGACAAAACGTATACTAGGGGTTGCCTAGTACAAGCATGGAAAAGAACTGGAGAAACATGCGGTGGCAGGGGGCAGTGACTGCTAACGGTAGTTTCTTTGTCGGGTGATGGAAGAATTCTAAAACTGTGGTGATGGTTGCACACCTCTGAAAATGTTACAGGTCCCTGAATTGTACCTTTTTTTTTTTTTCTTTTAAAGAGGTGGGTCTCACTCTGTCACCCAGGCTGGAGTGCAGTGGCGCCGTCATAGCTCACTGCAGCATCAAACTCCAGGGCTCAAGAAACCCTCCCACTTCAGCTTCCCATGTGGCTAGGGCTACAGGTGTGCACCACCAAACCCAGCTCATGTTTTTTATTTTTTGTGAGGACAGGGTCTCACTATGTTGGCCAGGTTGGTCTCAAACTCCTGGCCTCAAGTGATCCTCCTGCCTCAGCCTCCCAAAGTGCAAGATTTACAATTCACACCCAGCCTGAATTGTTCACCTTAAATAGGTGAATTGTATGGTATGTCAACTGTATCTCAAGGAAAGTCCTACCAAAAAGAACTATGAAGCAACTAAATGGGATATCTCTCTCAGAGTACCTACAAGAAAAATCCATAATGATCAGGAAAGATGACCTTATTGTAAATTTTGTATTTATAAACATAATTCATTTACCAACTTACAATTATTCTTTTGAGCTTCTACATCTTATGTAGAAAGAAAATTTCCCAAGTCTGCTCACCTTGGTCAGAGAAGTCTTCTGTGGTGAACAATGAGTCATATCCTCACCAGGACTTACTTCCACTGCAGTGCTAGTTCTGGGAGTAGGACGAGAACTGAAAAATACATACCAGTTAACATTATTCAGATTCCAGAAAGTTTATTCTGTTTACTGTTTTCTGGAAGAAAACATGTCTCATGAAAAATGCTAGAGTATGATGATTCCATATGCTCTCACTAAAAAAGTCTAGATCTAATTTGTGTTTACATAATTTTTATAACTGCTATTAATTTCCTGGCTAATGTATTATTTCTTTTATTTATACTTTCCATGCCATACACAGTATCTTCTTTTTTAACTAGAAACCTTCAAGCATTAATTTTTATAAACGTCTTCCGGTATAGGCAGGATTAACATAAATAAAATAGATCAGATATTCTACAAAGAATGAAAAATATTTGTAGCTGTATATCAGAAAATACTTGAAAAGGAAATTACCCTGGCACCTATTTAAAATAAGTAACAAGGAAGTTACAATCCTTATCTATTTGTAATGATTCCTCCTACACGTATAAATGCCTGCCATACCGTATGGGCCACTGTACTTTTCCTGGATCCACGGTTTTGAGCTTTTCACTTTTTGTTTTTTTTTTGAGATGGAGTCTAGCTCTGTTGCCAGGCTGGAGTGGCAGTGGCACCCAATCTCGGCTCACTGCAAACCTCCCACCTCCCGGGTACAAGCGATTCTCGTGCCTTAGCCTCCAAGTAGCTGGGATTACAGGTGCCCGCCACTGCACCTGGCTAATCTTTGTATTTTTAGTAGAGACAGGGTTTCACCATCTTGGCCAGGCTGGTCTAGAACTCCTTACCTCACGATCCACCTGCCTCAGCCTCCCAAAATGCAGGGATACAGGCATGAGCCACCACACCTGGCCCTGAGCTTCTCACATTTTAAGAAATCTTCCCATCAGATCATTAATATTTTTAATTATTTCCCTTCAGGGTCAAGTGCGGTGGCTCACTCCCGTAATCCCAGCACTTTGGAGGCGCTGAGGCACTCAGATCACTTGAGGTCGAGTTTGAGACCAGTCTGGCCAATATGGCAAAACCCTGTTTCTACTAAAAATACAAAAATTAGCCAGGCATAGTAGCAGGCACCTGTAATCCCAGCTACTAGGGAGGCTGAGACAGGAGGATCACTTAACTCAGGAGGCAGAGATGGCAGTGAGCCAAGTTCAAGCCACTGCTCCAGCCTGGGTGACAAAGTGACACTCCATCTCGGGGGAAAAAAAAAAAAGCCCAGCATGGGTGGTGTATGCCTGTATCCCAACTACTTTGGGAGGCTGGGGCAGGGAATAGCTTAACAGGGGAGGTGAAGGTTGCAGTGAGCCAAGACCGAACCACTGCACTCCAGGCCTGGACAACAAGAGCAAGACTTCAACTCAAGGGGGAAAAAAAAAAAAAGTATACTTGGGAATACTTCAAATTCCCAAGTATCAGGATCCTCAACTCTCATTCACTTATCTGTTGATCCCTTCATTAAACATATACTTACATAGTACATAAAATACGAATACCAGAAATTGTAGGAGGTTCTAAAAAGTTAAATTTAAAGTGTATAAAATGGGCCAGGTGCTGTGGCTCACACCTATAATCTCAGCACTTTGAGAGGCCAAGGCGGGCAGATCACCTGAGCTCAGGAGTTCGAGACCAGCTGGGCAACTTGGGGAAACCCCGTCTCTACTAAAAATACAAAAAAAATTAGCCAAGCATGGTGGTGCATGCCTGTAATCCCAGCCACTTGGGAGGCTGAGGCATGAGAATCGCTTGAACCAGGGAGGCAGAAGCTGCAGTGAGCCGAGATCACGCCACTGCACTCTAGCCTGGGCAACAGAGCAAGAGTCTGTCTCAAAAAAAATAAATAAATAAATAAATAAATAATAAAATGTGTAAAATGTATATACATAAACATACATTACATTTAAATATGGGTAAAACATATCAGGAATTTTAATTTATAATTATAACCCCTATTTCATGAAACAAAACTATTTCTCTATGTTACAAAATATTTTAAATACTTTTAATATTTACATACTACTAATTTTTGTTCTTTTTTTTTTTTTTTTTTTTTTGAGACAGCGTTGCACTCTTGTTGCCCAGGCTGGAGTGCAATGGTGCAATCTCAGCTCATTGCAACCTCCATCTCCTGGGTTCAAGTGATTCTCTTGCCTCAGCCTCCCAAGTAGCTGGAATTACAGACACCCACCAGCACGCCCGGCTAATTTTTTTTTTCTTTAGTAGAGACAGGGTTTCACCATGTTGTCCAGGCTTGTCTCGATCTCCTGACCTCAGGTAATCTGCCCGCCTCGGCCTCCCAAAGTGCTGGGATTACAGGCATCAGCCACCGAGCCCGGCCCATACTACTAAATTTTTTAATGCATTGGTCCTAATCACTTTAAGATATCACTCTGACTTTAATTATTTCAGTGATTACAAACATTATTTAAGCCTCACATATAGAAAAGTAAAAGAAAAGCTGGGCACAATGGCCCATGCCTGTAATCGCAGCACTCTGGGAGGCCTAGGTGGGCGGATCATCTGAGATCAGGAGTTCAAGACCAGGCTGGCCAACATGGCGAAATCCCATCTCTACTAAAAATACAAAAATTAGCCAGGCGAGGTGGTGGGCCCCTGTAGTCCCAGCTACTTGGGAGACTGAGGCAGGAGAATCACCTGAACCTGGGAGGTGGAGGCTGTAGTGAGCCAAGATCACGCCACTGTACTCTAGCCTGGACAACAGAACAAGACTCCATCTCAAAAAAATAAAATAAAATAAAAATAAAGAATAAAAAAAGGATTTAAAGAAAAACAGAACCTCTTCTTTTCTGTAAGTATTTACCCAAATAGAAAAGATTTTGCCTTCAAAGCATTAACAACAACAACAAAAACTGGGTGCATTGGCAGGCAGATGGCTCAAGCCCAGGAGTTCGAGACCAGCCTGAGCAACATGGCAAAACACCGTCTCTACAAAAAAATTAGCCAGGCATGGTGGCACACACCTGTAGTCACAGCTACTCGGGATGCTGAAGTGGCAAGATCACTTGAATCCAGGAGGCAGAGGTTACAATAAACCAAGATCACGCCACTGCACTCCAGCCTCGGCAACAGAGGGAGATCTTTTCTCAAAAACAAAACAAACCAAACAACCTGGACTTCTGAAATTTTAAGTTCAATTCTATTTTAAGTTAAAGAACAAAATGAAGAGGGATTAATTCTTACAAATGGAAATAATGAGTTGCTTTGGTAAAAAATAAGTTGGTTTGGTTAAAAATTTTCAAAAATCCTATATATAGCAAAATCTACATTTCACTGGCCACCACCTAACTGCAACTTTGAAATTGGAGAGTGAAACTGGAATTTGGCACTAAAATCCCTGTTCTTTATCTCTGTGTAACATGGTTTGCACCAAGATAGCAGACGCTTTAAGAAAATTTAACTTTTGTCTCACATTGATCCCTCTTTTTTCATTTTACCTACCTGAGAAGAAACATGGATTCATTCAACTGACCCTCAAGAGTACTCTTAGGCCGAAACTCAGTTGGATTTTCTGTAGCAAGAAAGTAGTATGTTACACAGAAAAGAACAAAAATATCATATGCAAGGCATAACATACACAAAGATTTAAAGGGACATAACATTGAAATTAGGAACTCTCTCAAACATTATAAGTAGCATGAATGTGCTCAAATAAAAGCTTACCTAGTCTGAAAGAGTGACCTAGTGGTTGACCGCTCTTGTGCCCTTTTGCTTGTCTACTCTGAGCATTCTGCAAAAGCTCCTTGGAATCTTGTGGCCCAGAACACTCCATTGTGTTTCTGCTATTATTGGAGAAAACCAACACAATCAAACTTACTTTGGAGTTCTCTATAGTTTTGTGTTAGAAGAAGAGGTTGGAGAAGATAATTAAACTACACATGACATTTAGCAAAGTTACAGAATCTCTTAACTTTATGCCTCCCTCATCCATATAGCCATCAAAGACTGGCAGGAAAGCTATGTCACTGTAGTCCCTCAAGATCCAGGCTAAGGCCAGGCGTGGTGGTGCACACCTGTAATCCCAGCACTTTGGGAGGCTGAGGCAGACGGACCGCTTGAACTCCGAAGTTCGAGATCAGCCTGGGCAACATAGTGAGAACTTGTCTCCTTTTTTTTGTTTTTAACAAATTAAAAAAAAAAAAAAAAAGATCCAGGCTGACAGACTAGGCATGGTGCTCACGCCTATAATCCTAGCACTTTGAGAGGCCATGGCAGGCAAATCACTTAAAGCCAGGAGTTTGAAACCAGCCTGGGCAAAATGGTGAAATCCTGTCTCTACTAAAAATACAATAATTAGCTGAGTGTAGTGGCGCACACCTATAGTCTCAGCTACTCAGGATGCTGAGGTGGGAGGATCATCTGAGCCCAGGGAGGTCAAGGCTGCAATGCGCCATCATTGTACCACTGCACTCCTGCCTAGGTGACAGAGTGAGACGTTGTCTCAAAAAAAAAAAAAAAAAAAAAGTCCAGGCTAGAACTCCATTTTGACATTTTTCTTCCCAATTACCTCATCATGTGGTAAATTACTGCTGCTCTTCAACTTTGGATCTGGGAATAACACATATTACTTTTGCTAACATTTTGTTACCCAAAACAAGTCACATGACCACACCTAACTTAAAGGGGAGAAAAAAGATCCTACCATATACTTGGGAGGTGGGAAGCCAGATGTATTTGGTAACAGAACTAATGATTATCATATTATATCAATGACTAAAGAATAACAACAGAAAATATGCAAAATTAAGAACACAAAAATATCACGAGTAAACTCTTTAAGCAACCCTTAATTAAACAAATGCTGGATTTTCTCCTACTACAAAAGCAGAGAAATTCAGGTCATTGATGTTGTATAATTAGAATAGTAATGGGCTTAAGTGTCCAGTAACTATGTCTTATACACGAAGGTAAGTGTATACTACCTGAGACTGAGATCTTCCATGCTTGATTCCTGATCTGCTCCAGCGAAAGCTTTCTTCCAAAATGAATGCTGCAGTAGCCTTGTCCAAGTTAATCTTTAAAAAACATAAATGTTAAAACTCTACTTTAACATGATTTACCATGAAAAACTCTCAAGACATGTCCCAATTACACATATCGGAGTTTGCAATTTGTATCTCCTAAAGGTACATATGTACCTTTGAAATCATTTTATATTTTATTATTTCATTTTTGTATGCAATTAACCTCTTTTAGACAGCAAGATAAAAAGAAACAATTCAGAAGCCTTAAATGGTACAGAATGAAACAGTCTGATAAGTAAGGATTAGAAGTTTCAGGGTTCAAATTCCATAGAGTCTGGGTTCTTCAACCAGCATGGGAAAAAGGGAATTGATAAATAATTCGAAATTCTAAAGTAAATATATCAGATATCTATAATCCTGTCATCCTTTATTTCACAACATAGGCAAGATTATTTTACTTACCCTGACTGACACATTTAAGTTTTGGAACTATTCTGTTAGAACTTCATTCAGGAATAAATAAGAATATCAGCCCAGGCGCGGTGGTTCACACCTGTAATCCCAGCACTTTGGGAGGCCAAGGTGGGCAGATTGCTTGAGTCCAGGATTTCAAGATCAGCCTGGACAATGTGGCAAAACCCCATCTCTACAAAAAATACAAAATTAGTTGGGTGTGCTGGCCCACACCTATAATCCCAGCTACTTGGGAGGCTGAGGTGGAAGAATCTCTTGAGCCTGGGAGGCAGAGGTTGCAGCAAGCCAAGATCACACCACTGCACTTCAGCCTGGGTGACAGAGTGAGACCCCATCTCAGGAGGGGGTGCCGGGGCAGGGGAAGAATATCAGCTTCATAATCATATACATTCACACCTTGTTTAGGAATCAAAATAATATTACCTAGCTAGTTCACTTGCATTAAAATGACTTTAGGCTGTATTTAAAACTCAGGCTCATTTTCAAAAGATTGAGTTTCACTACTAATACAGTATATCTGTAGGCATACTCACCAGAGTGGGAAAATTAAGCCTGACTGAAACTTTAAAACAAAAAAGAAAAGAATTTATAGTTGACTAATCACTCAAAACTTCTGTATTGAATAAAATTACTCCAATCAAAAGTAAAGCACAAATAATAGAATTTGCAATCACATATAATATTCCTTTACACAAAAAGCTCTTATGGTTCACTAAAGGAGAAATAAAAATAGCCAACGAAGTAAAATTTATTTTCACCCATCAAACTGACAAAAATGTAGATCAACAAGGCACACTATAGATGAGTGGGAGGGAAGGAGCTTTCTAACATATTGTTGCTGAGAGTGTAAATCAGCACATGTTCCTAGAATGTAGGAAATGTATCAAACTGTTTAAATGCTCTCAGCCTTTAGCAAGCCATTCCACTTTAAGAAATTCACATGAAAGAGATAATTACCCAAGTAAACCCAAAAACATTTTAAAAAGTCACAAAAGGATATTTACTGTAACAACGTATATAATATTACAAATCAAGAGGCATTCTAAATGTTTACTTTTTTATAGGTAATTGTATGCACATTCTACAGCCATTTAAAATGACCAAGCAGCCAGGTACAGTGGCTCACACATGTAATCCCAGCATTTTGGGAGGCCGAGGCAGGTGGAACTGCTTGAGGTCAGGAGTTCGAGACCAGCATGGCCAACATGGTGAAACTCCATTTCGACTAAAAACACAAAAATTAGCTGGGGATGGTGGCACACACCTGAAATCCCAATTACTCAGGAGGCTGAGGCATGAGAAACACTTGAACCCAGGAGGTGGAGGATGCAGTGAGCCAAGATTGCATCACTGCACTCCAGCCTGGGTGACAAAGCAAGACTCAGAAATGGAAATGGAAAAATATGCATAATGTACCATGAGAGAAAAAAATAGGTTATGGAGTGGTCCTATGTAAGCAAGAAAATTATATAGCATAGGGTTATAAATGTAGGGATATGTAGATACACTCTCTTAAGTAAATTAGGTATAGTTACATCCTATCAAAAGATGTCTGAAAAACTATCCACCAAAATAACACTAATGTTGAAAGCATTCTAATGTAAGTAAAGGATGTTTGTCCTACAGCTTATACAAAAATCAGCATTTCCTTCTGCAGTTTTTAAAATATATTTAATCAAAGAGTGGACTCTTATATATGCTACACTAAATTTATTCTCCATTTTATAAACTGAACCCTCCTCCCATCCCTGCATCCCAGTTATCTAGTGACAGAACCAGAGCCAGAAATTAGTTGCCTGGGCCTCTTTCCCACTCTGGTCCACCTCCTAGCCTCCCCTACCCTGTGCCTCAACAATGATTTCTAACACTGCCATCACAGACAGAAAATTCACAAGGTGCCTATTATCCTATCACTTAATATCCCCATTATGACAGGCTTGTCATAAAAACAGGTCACATTAAATATCACTCAGTTAACAGCACCTTAACTTGACAATATCATCCCTAGGTCAATAGTCAAACAGTTTTAGCCTGAAATACAAAATACAAGAAATGGTACTTCTAGGATTCGGGAATTATAAGAAAATTTGTCAACTACTTAATACTTGAAAAGAGAAACTGACTTCAAAAATTCCTCATGATTAAAAACACCTGCAAACTGAGAGAAGCACTTTTAATCCGAAGTCAGACTTCTTTAAAAAATAATAATTTGAATAACAATTTGTATATTAAGAACAGCACCATTTTAGAAGTACATAAAAGGGGGAAAATATTCCACTATTTATTCCCATTAAAATACTGTCCCTTACTCCATTTACAGAACTCAAAAGAAAAAGAAAAAAAAATCGAAATACTGTCCCAACCTTTTTTGAGGATCTCTTTGAAGTAACCCATCAAGCAAATTAATAAAATCTGAAGAAGCTTTAGGACGAGAAGAATCTATAAACAAATTAATTTCCAAGAAAAAATGGTAAGTAGTAAATACATATCAATTTTATTTTTATCTCTTACATCAACATTTAAAGTAATAGTATTTTAAACACATAAATTATTATTAAGAGAACTCTAAATCCATTAACAACAATTATATCCTCCATTTAATGGGGCAGGATGGGGAGGTACAGAACATAAAGATTAAAAACATATTTTCCTAGATCACAAAAAGGAAATGTAAATCTCAAAAACTAAGTCTTAACAAACCTCTAACTCACTGAACAATCCCAATCAGAATCACCAGCTTAACAAACTCAAACACTTGTCTTCAACTATTTTGGGGGGGTTTTTTGAGACAGAGTCTCGCTCTGTCACCCAGGCTGGAGTGCAGCGGCACGATCATGGTTCACTCCAGCCTCTACCTCTCAGGCTCAAGTGATCCTCTCACTCCAGCCTCCAGAGTAGCTGGGACTACAGGCATGCACCACCACGCCTGACTAACTTTTGTTTATTTTTTGTAGAGATGGGGTCTCACTATGCTGCCTAAGTTAGTCTCAAACTCCTGGGCTCCAGTGATCCACCTGCCTTGGATCTCCTAAAGTGCTGGGATTACAAGTGTGAACCACTAAGCTCAGCTCCAAATTTTTTTTTTTTTTTGAGAAGGAGTTTCACTCTTGTTGCCCAGGCTGGAGTGCAATGGTGTGATCTCGGTTCACTGCAACCTCTGCTTCCCAGGTACATGCGATTCTCCTGTCTCAGCCTCCCAAGTAGCTCGGATTACAGGCATGTGCCACCATGCCTGGCTAATTTTTTTATATTTAGTAGAGACGGGGTTTCACCATGATAGTCAGGCTGGTCATGAACTCATGACCTCAGGCGATCCACCCACCTCGGCCTCCCAAAGTGCTAGGATTACAGGTGTGTGCCACCATGTCCAGCCCTAATTAACTATTATACCTTATTCTTTGAAGTATTCCTAACTTGAACAACTTTGCATTACAAAGTACTATGATTAGAATATTTGCAATCCCTCTTTTAAGATTTTTAACAGAAATAAGAAGCATTATATTATGACACTGTCCAATACCACTAATCTCATACTGTTTTGTCTTTTTAAATTAGTTATATACCATATCCAGGTCATCAGTCTATGGTTAAAAGTAGTAGTAATGGCCACACATTGCGGCTCATACTTGAAATCCCAGCACTCTGGGAGGCCAAGGCAGGCGGCTCAATCAAGGCCAGGAGTTCAAGACAAGCTAGGCAACATAGCAAGATCCTGTCTCCACAAAAAAATTTTAAAATTAGCCATTCCCAGTGGTGTGCGCCTGCAGTCCCAGCTACTCGGGAGGCTGACTGCACCACTGCACTCCAGCCTGAGTGACACAGCAGAACCCTGTCTCTTAAAAAAAAAAAAAATAATAATAATAATAAATATATACATATATACACAGCACTAATTTTTGCAGAATCCTGTTTTCATTTATGTGTCGTAAGATAAACTTTAACAATGTATAGCAAAATGTTTTACTGCATTTGTGCCTTCTTTTTTCTTTCCTTAAAAATTATTGCTGATAGATCATTACATTAACCACAATTTATATGATTAAAGTTCCAACACTTTAAAAATACTACAACTGTATCTAATTTTAAAGATTTTTAGGCCGGGTGCAGTGGCTCATGCCTGTAATCCCAGCACTTTGGGAGGCTGAGGTGGGTGGATCATGAGGTGGGTGGATCATGAGGTCGGGAGTTCGAGACCAGCCTGACCAAGATGGTGAAACCCCGTCTCTACTAAAAAACAAAACCAAAAAATTAGCCGGGTGCCGTGGCGGGCACCTGTAATCCCAGCCACTCGGAAGGCTGAAGCAGGAGAATGGCTTGAACCCAGGAGGCTGAGGTTGCAGTGAGCCAAGATCACGCCACTGCATTCCAGCCTGGGCAACAGAGTGAGACTCTGTCTCAAAAATAAATAAAAATATATATATATAAAAAATAAAGATTTTTAAAACTCATAAGGGTAGCATTCTGATTGATCAGGATAAGGAAACGGCGGATTTGTTCCAACAGGAGATAGAAATAACCACATGGGATATGACTACAAAGTAAATGATACATACAAAAAGTAATGTCACATGAGTGTTTAAGTTTCTTAAGTCTTTAAGCCATACTTTTTGTGATATAGATGTACAAAATAATTTGTTTTTAAATGAGGGAAATCTATTAGTACTTTGTTCTCTGTTTCAGCATCTTTAAAAAATGTCAAAGGAAATACTAACATTTCTAAAAATATCAACTTGGGATCATTTATAAAAGGTAACTTTGGGGAGTTACGAATCAATAAAAGCAAACTTTGGATAAAGGTACACCTTTAATCAGTGGAAAATGTAAATTAATTCCATTTTTATCATAAGAAATCTTACCTTTTGGAATAGGTGGCAAAGGATCTTCACATAAGATCTTTTCAGTTAATTCTGAAATACTTTCTGAGAAGAATGGAGGTTTTCCTGAAATCACATGAAAACTTGAAAAATTAAAGAAGTCTGCTATCACCAATAATTCTCATCTCCACTACAGATATTTCAAGATTATACAACTTCTAGAAAAAATATACAGGAATAGCTAATGCCTAGTACGTACCAGGCACTGCCTATATAATTTATATTTCTCTTAATTCAAAACGTATTATCATCCTAACAAATACAGAAACACACATATGGACCACTACTATGAACCAATGGGTGTATAGGCCATTCAACGCATCTGAATAATACACAGTTGCAAGGCATCTTTACAAAAATTTCTAATCATCACAGTTTTTGAGTTAAGCACATTTCAGCATTCCAGATTATCATGAAAAATTACCTATTTGTCAAGAAGTTTCTAGGAATCTGCATATGCCTAGATACCAAGCAACTCAGCCAAAATCAGTACATGTAAAAATTTAATAAGGTCACAGGTTTTTTGCCCAGGCATAGTGGCTCATGCCTATAATCCCAGAGCTTTGGGAGGCCTAAGTAGGCAGATCACTTGAGGTCAGGCATTCAAGACCAGCCTGGTCAACATGGTGAGATCCTGTCTCTACTAAAAATACAAAACATTGCCTGGCATAGTGGTGGGCACCTGTAAGCCCAGCTACTCAGGAAGCTGAGGCACGAGAATGGCTTGAACCCAAGAGGCAGAGGCTGCAGTGAGCTGAGATCGTGTCACTGCACTCCAGACTGGGTGACACTGTGAGACTGTCTCAAAATTTTTAAAAATCAAGTTTTTTAACATCTTGTAAGTAAAACATCTGCAAACTACAGACTTAACCTGGTTTTATTTTAGTCATATCTGATTTTATACCTATTCAGGAAACAATTACCTGAAAACATTTCATAAAGCAGACAGCCCAAAGACCAGAGGTCACTGGAGATGGAAAAGTCAGCACCCCTCACAACTTCTGGTGCTGTATATATAGGAGATCCTAAAAGCAAAGTATGGAGAACAGTTCTGTTAGGCATTTGTATTGCTGCCAATGCGAACCTACCTAGGAAAGATCTGGTGAGATGAAAAAGGGCAGGAGAAAAACATACGCATGAATAAAACTTCATGTGCATTTCACATTTTTAAGTGTTTTCTAATTTTAATGTTACATTTTGCAAAGGATGTGTGTGAATATAAAAAGGTGTTTAAAATCTACCTGAGAGGTATGGCACATTCAGCTACATTCTTCTTTTAAATTTCAATTAGAATAGTTCAAGTTAAACCTTAAATGTAACAACCCCAACATCCCACTGGCTTAACAGCAAAGGTTTATCTATCACTAAATATGTCCATAACAAATCTACCAAGAAGCTCTGATCCTCAAAGTCACTCAAAGACCCTGGCTGATAGAGGTTCCAACTCCACTCATGCTTCCTCAATTGGAGGCAGGGAGAAAGAATATAGCTAACTGAACACTGGCTCCTAAAATTCCCATCTCAAAGTTACTCACATCACTTCTGCTCACACTTAGTTGGCTTTGACCAGGGAGAGGATGCAATCCTACCATCTATCCAGGAGAATAGGAAATATTTAGTGAAAAGCACTCATGTGTGCCACATATACTTTATACAAAGTTTAATATTACATAGAAATCCCATATTTTAGAGCCAGAAAGTTCCCTTATTCACTGACAAGAGAAATGGAAGCTTTAGAGGGATACTTAACCTCCAGTAAATCACACAGCTAGGCAGTTGCAGAGCACCCGCCAAGACCCAGGGTCCTTGTCTCTCCCTGGTGCACAGTCTGTGCATTCCATCTAACAAACTCCCACCTCCCAGTGAGAATCTCTTCCCCAGGAAGTAAGTAACCTCCAATGATTTGGAAACAAAATTCCACTGAGGTAAGCCTTCCAGCAAATCCTATTTCCAGAGCCCATCACAGCCAGATCAGCAGCTTTGTGTGCCCTGATGCGTGACTATAAAGTTCTCCCATGGAACATTTTTGCTATGCTATCACATTTCGCACACATCGATGGAAGGTATATTTGCCTGCACTAGCTGCTGAGGAAACACAAATAACATCCATGGAATGCCCTTGCACTCTGCCCAACACTTAATAGATGTTTAATTAATATTTGTTGAATATGAATGTTTGTCTTCCCATCCTTATTTCCAGTACCTAGAACGTGGGTAAACTAGTCAAATTAAGAAATAAATGTAGATCAGGCTCACACCTGTAATCCCAGCACTTTGGGAGGCTGAGGCAGGCAGACTACTTGAGGCCAGAAGTTCAAGACCAGCCTGACCAACCTGGTGAAACCCCATCTCTACTAAAACTACAAAAATTAGCTGCATGTGGTGGAGGGCACCTGTAATCCCAGCTACA